TTTGCACAGTCATTTTGGACCTTGTCAGTGGGACTGAGACTGTCTGACTATGAACTTAGTAACATCTTTAATCAATGTCTGGATCATCCTTTATCGATGAAGGAGATGGAGGATCTGAAGATTGTTCAATTTTGAGATTTTGTTATGCATCTTAAGTGTAATAGTTTTGAACTTGATTCGTTTTCCAAAATTGGCATCACCCCCGGATCTCCACCTCAAACAACCATCATTCCTGAATGTGTCATTGAGGCTGTAGAATGTTTTGACACTTTCTCTAATATTCTGGCCAGTGTCAAGTCTCTGCCTAAATCGATGGATCCTTTAGGATCTCAGCCTGCAGTGATCACTACTCCAGAGAATTTGATTGAGTTCACTGTTTCTCCAGGACCTCTTTCAATGATGGCTGATGACATGGAGGCTCTCCTCAAGAGATCTGCTAGTCATGAATCGTTCAGTAAGATAGCCATTACTCCAGACTTTTTGCTCAGGATTGTCACAACCTTACAGCCTTTGCCCAAAGTGATCAGCAGTTCAGAGATTTTGTTTAGTATTCCTGCTCATTTAAAGATTCAGCCTGAGATGACTGTTAGTTCAGTATCTGCTCCAGAAATCACCTTTGAGTCCTCATCCTCCATTGCTTTTGAACTGTTTTCTATTTTTTCTGATTCTTTTTCAAGACTCGTTGAACCTTATTTTTTTAAGATTGTTGAGGCTTCATTTTTAAGTTTCTTAGAGCCTTCGTCCTCAAGCGCCGGTGAGCCTTCGTCCCCAAGCGCCGGTGAGCCTTCAGCCTCAAGCGCCGGTGAGCCCTCGCCCTCAAGCGCCGGTGAGCCCGCTTTCATTTCACAACCCAGATCTAGGGGTAAGCCTCTTCCTAAGCTGGAAAGGCCCTTGCCACCGAAACAAACTTTTGTTCCAAACAGACCAAAGTTTAATTCATCACTGTCTGGGTGGCCTTATACCTTAGGCTGGCCACCAATTCCAGCATTTGTACCACTATGGTGGCCTTTAGTTTGGGCATCACATCCTCAAAGCTCACTGGACTTCACCTTGGCTTGTATGGTTCCACCTTGTTTCCATGTAAGTTATAGTTTATGTATGTTTGAACCACCATCCCTCCCCCTGGTCAACCTCCATTCCACCTCCCTCCTAGTTAAGAGATCAAGTGGGAGTGTCTGGAATCCACTCCCTTTGAGCGGGGTAATGTCACACCTGTTGCAGTGCCCTAGTTTGGACACTTGAGGGCACTAATTTGTTTTGTAGTTTCACTTCATTTACCATAATCCTTTGTATTACTGATTGTGTTATGTTACAGCTGTTTTGTGTTTGTTAATTTTGTCCTGTCTTTATAAACCCTCTTGTCCTCTTTTAGTTGCTTTAGGATTCTGGTATGTTTGTCTGGTTATCTAGTTTTTTTTGTATTACGATTATTATTGGATTCCTGTTTGTGTTCGTTTTTGTTAGCACTTGTTAGCACTCCCACCCTGTCCTTGTATTTACCTGTTTTTTGGATTTTTGCCAGTTCCTTCGTCTGGTCATCTAGTTTTTGTATCTTGCTTATAGCTCTGTGTAAGATTTGGAAATCTGTCTTTTTGGGTACCTTTGTCTTTTTGTTAATAAATTGCTGCACTTGGATTTTTGCATTTTGTGATCATTCCCCATTTCGTGACACCTATAGCGCATGTGTTTGGATTGTGGGGGAAAGCGGAGCACCCGGAGTAAAGCCACAGACATGAACATGGGGAGAACATGCAAACTCCACACTGCAACACCTCCCCTCGAAACACAGAAATGCCAACTCTTCCAGCTGGGGCTCGAACCAGTGAACTTCTTGCTGTCAGGCAATCAGGCTACCTACTGTGCCACCGTGCTTATTGTTTTATTCAGATTAAGGCAAATCATTTTATTACGGATGTCCATGTAAACGTAGTCGATGATGAGAAGTATGAGTGCTCAACCTAAGCACAATACTACACAAGACAGGACTAGTGTCTGGACTCCAATAAAACAAGAAACAACAAGACCGAAGTGTCAGAATCCTGACAATCAATTACTCAAAGACAAGTCGAAAATGTGGAGTATAAGAGCTCCAAACAAGCTGATCTGCATACAGAATCATGGCCAGAGATATTTCCATTAAAAACTAAGCAAAGAGTAAGAGAAGAGATGTTATCCTGTGCTGTTTTTTGCGGATCCTTTTTAGCGCTTTTGTTGCTTAATTGCAGGTTAGATTTTTTGCTTAGTGAATTCCATCCTTATAGATTTCCTCTGTTGGTCCACTGGATAAATTCTAAGCAGTCTCTAATGTCAAGTTCAGACTGCATGACTTTCAAAGTTGTGATGTCACAGATGTTTTTACACTGCATGACTATCTGGCGTAGCATTTCTTTGCTGATGTGATGCTGCATTACTTTACAATAGAATGAATCGCCAACGACTTTGTCTTGTCCACATACTACGTCTCACAACCAAATATGCACGAGAAGTGACATGGAAACAACGTGAGGCCATGTAGTGTATCTTCTGTCATTAACTACATAAAGAGAAAGAAGCTTTTAGTGAGGTAGAACATACTTTTTTTGCTCAGTTTGCTTTTGAAGGGAATTAGCAATTTCTCCTCAACTTTTTTCTTTTCGACCCTGTTGTGGCAATGCTAAGATGACATGTATAAAAGACACATGTAATCCTGCTATGTTTTCACTCACTTAACTTCCCGCTGGCCTGGATGCTGTAGGTAATTGTGATGTTATTTTTAATCAGTACACATTTTACGCGACAAGTTTTTGAATCGACAACGGGTCCAGATATTTACTATGCCAAATATGTCACGGGTGTGGGTGGCTCAATGACAATTATCTCAAATTATGTCTTCGGTAGTTCAAACTGTGTGATTTTTACTCACGTAAACAAGCACAGAATGCCTGTGATTTCAGGGATTTGATGGCAATTTCTCAAATTATGTTTCCGGTCTGACACATTCGCATGTGTATGAATGGAGGTCTATGGGGAGAATAGTCCAGTGGGATTGCATCTTTACTTAGCTCAGTTATCTGTGTCTTGAAGAATCTACCCACCCACCCCTTACTCCCCCTCCTTTCTAAATGGGTGAAAAGTTGGCCCAGTGATCACCACTGCCTCACAGCAAGAATGTCAGTAGTTAAAGTCCCTATTGAACTATCACCGTTTCTGTGCAGAGTTTGTTTGTTCTCCCCATGCTTGCGTGGGTTTCCTCCAGTTTCCTCCCCAGTCAAAAAATATGCAACCTAAGTTAATTGAACATTCTAAATTGGCACCATAGTCGAGCCCTTATAAGGCGTATATCTCTCCTTAGCATCCGTATATCTGTCATTAACCAGAAATAAGTCGGAGGAGTTCTTCAAGATCTACCTAAGCTCAAACTTCTCTCTTGCCCAGCTAACAGGAGGGAGCCCAGGGCTCGAGGATCTTATGAGCTCAGGGTTCTCTTCCAGGACAGCATGCCAAACAAGCTTTATTATCAATCATCAGGTAAGTGTGAACTCATAAAATGCTGTTTAAACAAGTGCTGTGAGGAGCATTCATTTATTCATTTTCTTTTCGCCTTAGTCCCTTTATTAATCCAGGGTCGTCACAATGGAATGTACCATTAACTTATCCAGCACATGTTTTATGCTGCGGATGCCCTTCCAGCTGCAACCCATCTCTGGGAAACATCCATACACACTCATACACTACAGATAATTTAGCCTACCTAATTCCCCTATAGCGCAGTCTTTGGACTGTGGGGGAAACCGAAGCACCTGGAGGAAATTTACGCCAACATGGGAAGAACATGCAAACTCCACACAGAAATGCCAACTGGCCCAGCCGAGGGTCAAACCAGTGACAGATGTGGTCATATGTTGATTGGTCAGTTTGAATGTCTCAGTATTCCAGCAAGTATTCCAGCACTGTGCCGGATCTCTGTTGTTCGGAGACCCGGAAGGGATGTGATGGTGAGAAAAAAAAAACTGGGTGCGAGAAAAAAGAAAAGAAAAAAAACAGTAATATATAGGAAAATATATATATATTTTTTAAATTTTTGCGTTCCCTCGCAAAGATATTTACAGACGTATTTTGCCAAAGAAGCGAAATGAAAGGACATTTCTGCTCACAGTTTGACACAAAGCAGTGCTGATACTGATCGCCTCTGTGCTTCCTGGAGCCGCGTCATAAACTCAACAAACAAGCTATTGATGATTTAATGTAGGCTACAACCAACAAACCAACCTTTTTTCTATTTATAAAATAACAGTTTTTAATAGTACCTATATGATATTAGTTTTTAAAATAGCCTACATAGCTTACGAACCAATCAAATCCAAAGATTTTTATTTTTGTATAATGAATAGCTCTGGACTAAACTGAGGCTTTCATTGTACAGCGTAAAAAAATTATGCAAACTAATACAATACCATATGTTAGCAACACAATTGTTGTACAAAAAGTCAACATATAAGCCTTGAGGTTCATTGTCATTGTCTTTCATCATACGTAGCGCGCCCACTCGAGAACCGCGAGTCAGACGGAGGAAATAAGTCATAATTATAAGAAATAATCTTTAATCTAACAACTTCTATTAAAACTGTTGACAAATGTTGAAATAATTATAACAGTGGAGCATTAATTAAATGCATAATTCCTGTGGAGCGATCGATTTTAAGTAGCCTGATATTTTTATTTGACAGAAGAAAAAAACATGATTGGATAAACAGCAGACCCTCAGCCTCCTCCTCTGGACCAGCTCCATCTTCTGGTCCAAATGTCTTAAAAAGAAAGTTTGCAGGATTGAACCCAGAAAAAAGTGATAATGGCCTTGATTTCACTTCTAATCTTCAATTCTTTAGCACTTTGAGCACTTGTTATTTAAGCACTTTAAGCACTTGTTATTGTTTAGAGGAAACACTTTATTTGACATAGTACTTTGTACAGTGAACAGTGCAAAACATAATCATTGAAGAGTGTCTATCTCAGTCTCAGTTTAACAGTTTTTTTAAGTACTTTAAGTTCTTGTCACCTAACTTTGTTATTATCTTTAATGTTTGAAGTAAGTCCTTCTGTGCAGTTTCTCTACAACAAGATTGCAGAAGAATGGTAAGAATAGAAATGTAGTTTTTCTCCATCATACTAATAACTTCTTAGTCATTCAGCAGAACTACATTTCGAACCGCTGTGGATATAAACCCATTCCTAACAGTATGCATATATCATACATTTATAATTTATAACAAAGTATATATTGAAAGTATTGCTAATTAAGCTGAGGCTTTTAAAATGGACAAACACAAACAAATCATACTGATGAATAAAAAAACTGCAAAACAGGCCCACTTTAAATGAGCTCAATAATTATTTGCTGAAGAAAATGTTTGAATTAAACATGAACTTAATAACTACAGGATAGAACAACTACAAGATATGTTAAAGTATGTATTTTAAACAAGCAGACAAAAGAGGATAAAAACAAATAGTGATCACACATTTGTTATCTTAAATGACAGATACTATATTTATTCACTCATATCTGCTGCAGATGAAGTTGAGTCTGTCAGTTTCAGGACGGCTGATCCAGGTCTGATTTCCTCCAGACTGAACTGCTCCAGATCTCACTGTGGGCTCACAGTCCTCCTCTGATGTGCCGTTCCCTGGAGCCCAGTTCTGATAGCATACGGTCTCTCCACTCACCCAGAACCAGATGCCCAAAGCGCAGGAGTGACGTAAACCCAACCACACCGCCTCAGTAGACGCCAGTTTAACCACGTTCATCACACAACGCTGCATCTCCACTGACTGAACCGAGACCAGATCCACATGATTCTGTCTGCAGTATCTCAGAGCTTCAGACCACGACAGATTCTGCTGGATCACAATCAGTTTATCTGGACACAAAACAAAGCAGAAACTAGAGAGAGACTGATCAACAACAACATGCAGAACAAACACTGTGGAGGAATTTGTCATGTCAGACATGTAGAGTCAACTTTAAGAGATCTGGAGCTGATGATGGATTGAGTGTGTTTGGAGGATCTGCTCACCTTCATGACACACAAAAGCATACTGATGGTAAACATTATTGTAGTCACCCCATCGTCGCTGTTTGTTTGGTTGAATCACTGCACAGTCTGCTAGATCTATAAAATTATCTGCCCAGTATCTGAATGAGGAGTTGCTCTGATCTGACCACTGCCATGGGTCACTGAACAGACCGATCCAGACTGAAGATCCAGATTTCTTACTCTCATTAATAAACTTCTCCAGCTGTTGATTCTCATTCTGGTTCCTCACACTGACCAGATCAATGTGATTCTGTCTGCAGTAACTCTGAGCAGCTCTCCAGGTCATCGACTGATCGACAAACACCAGTGCTCTGCTCACTGTAGGAAAATCAATTAAAACATTATTTTATCAGTTTATTCTTATTGTTTTGTATACTTTGGCTGTAAACAAAAGCAGCTATGACAGTATAAGAAAAGCATGTTTGAAGTGTTGTTATGAGTTGATTATAAATATTAATGATTACTTTAAAGGCCACCTAGGTTACCTTTATATTTTCAGATTTAAGGATGTGTATATAAAGTTTCAGCTCAAAACACCCATCAGATTTTTCATTATACCTTTTACAAAATCCTGTTTTATACACATTTCCACCAGGGGGTGGTTTTGTCGTACTGCGCCTTCAAGACGAGTCTTACCCGCCTACTGTTTCTACATGCCTTCCCGCGTGCTTTAACCCTCTGGGGAGGAAGACCGCGTATACGCGTTTTGACCTGTGGTGTCGTCAAACTGCTGAAATGAACTTAAATTACACTTTCAGTTTTGATCGCACAGATAAGATCAATACATCAATTGAATCTGTTATGTGTCTACTTTTTGTTTTGTACACTTACAACAACAACAAACGTGTGTGCTTTCGCAAAATAAGGAAAACAAACAGTGTAGGCATTCAGTGTTTTCTCTCTCCGTGAACTGCTTTTAGAAATGCATCGGTAAAATGCGCTAAAACTCTGCGAATATAAATTGCACACAGATGAGAATTGTATTTCTAAAAATCTGAGTTTGCTCAGTAATGAGAGTAATGTTGCAAAAGAAAGCAGGTGAAAAACAACACCATGTGGGATAATGAAATCTGTTAAACAGTCATGTGCATCACAGCAGCTTTTGGCGCAAGTGATCATCCTCTCATTCGGTATTCACAGTAATTATTTAAAGAATAAACTTACAAAGGAAACTTAGAAATGTAGTCTAGCAGACAGGTATTCTGTGATGGGGAGCAGCGCAGGAAAAAGGCAGTATTTCATTGTAAGCGCTGGCCTTCTTCTTGACATCAGCGGAAACTCACAGACGCAAGATTACTTTATCTTGGTCCACTTTTGTAGCGTTTTTAAAGATTATGTGAAGTGAAAGGCTTCATCTTCATCTAATAGTTTGTCGGCATGGCACAGACCAACATTACTCTCATTACTGAGCAAACTCGGAGCACTTCTTGTCTACTTTAGCTCACTTTGCCACTGGTTCTTTACCTCCGTTGTTTTCACATCTGGATTTACATATGAAGCGAAGGAGAATCCATACAGTCCTTACTTTTATACGGATTACATAAAAAGAGATCGTTTGTTTTCGACTTGAATTGGTTAATGCAAAAGTAGACATATCAAGTTTTATTTAGATATCATAAATCATCATCTTTGTTGACTATTTGCCGAGTTTTCTTCCATTTTAGTGATGTGTTTTTCTGACCACAGTCTGCTCGCGTCTTGCCCCGTGGGCGTGGTCGCATTAAAACTGATAAGATCAGACTGAGAAACGTCGCGGGTTACGTATGTAACCATAGTTCCCCGAGAGGGAACAGGACACTGCGTCTAACCAGAACGCTAGGGGAACACCTCTTTTATACGCGTCTTGAAGCACATGTGAAATCAATCTAATGTAATTAAGCAGGTGTCGTCAGACCAGAGAGTATAAAAGCCTGTACTGAACATTCAGTATCAAATTCGATATTGCTTGAAAGAAGTAACAGGCAGAAGAGAGTTTGGCGGAATACGCAGTGTCTCGTTCCCTCTCTGGGAACTATGGTTACATACGTAACCCGAGACGTTCCCCATCTAGGGAACTTCAACACTGCGTCTAACCAGAACGCTAGGGGAACGCAATACCCACTAGGCCAGACTCACTGCTGACTGTGAACGCACACTACGCAGTGAGAATAGAGGACCCTGGTGAGGGGTCTACATTGAGTTGATAGTGACCCACAAATGTATGTGGTGTCGACCATCCTGCCGCCAAACAAATGTCAGAAAGGGCTGAGCCCGAAATAGAAGCTTTGGAGGCCCCTGCAGCCCTTGTGAAGTGGGCCTTAACAAATTTAGGTGCGGGACGTCCAGCAGCCTGATAGGTAATTGAGATAGTCTCAACTATCCAATTACTTATTGTCTGCATATTCGCCGGACTCCCCCTCTTTGAGGGTCCGAAGCAGACCAGTAACTGTTCACTCTTTCTCCAGTTGATAACCCGGTTAACATATGTATTCAGAGCCCTAACTGGGCAGAGTAAGTTTAACTTCTCTTGGTCCGACGACTGAAATGGGGGCGGGTGAAAGGCCTGTAGCACAGCAGGTCTCGCCACATGAGTGGGCACCTTAGGCACATACCCCGGACTGGGAATATGAAAGGCTTTGGACATGCCTGGAGCAAACTCCAGAAATGAAGGTGCAACCGACAAAGCCTGGAGGTCACCAACCCTTTTTATTTATTTTTTTTTTAAAAGGAAGAAATAGCTAATAAGAAAGCTGTTTTTAGTGTCAGAAACTTATCTGACGCCTCCTGCAGTGGCTCAAATGGGGGAGCAGAGATGCCCTCGAGCACCAATGTTAAATCCCATGTCGGTACCCTGTGTGTACTGACAGGCCTTAGCCTTATGGCTCCATGAAGGAAGCGACGAATTAGCGGATGCTGTCCTAGTTACTCATCATCTAGGGGAGAACTGTAAGCCGCTATAGCTGACACGTACACTATCAGAGTGGATGCAGCTAACCCAGCAGACAGGCGATCGTGGAGAAATTCCAGCACTGAGGCTACCTGACAGCTGACTGGGTTCAGCTGGTGTTCTCTGCACCAAGCTGAAAAGAGAGCCCATTTTAGGGCATAAAGCTGCCTTGTGAAGGGAGCCCTGGAGCTTAGAATGGTCTGAGCAACCTCGGTTGACAATCCATACTCTATGAGGTGGGCCCCCTCAGAGGCCACACCCACAGTTTCCACAGGTCGGGTCGGGGATGAAGTATCATTCCTCCCGCCTGGGACAGAAGGTCCCTCCTGATGGGGATCTCCCACGGGAGACCCGCCAGCAGGGCTATGAGGTCCGAAAACCAAATTCTGGTAGGCCAAAATGGGGCTACCAGCAGTAACTGTACTCCGTCTTGACTATTCTCTCCAGGACTCCTGGGAGCAGAGCGACCGGGGGAAAAGCATACAGACGTAGCCTCGGCCATGTCTGAACCATGGCATCCAGTCCCAGAGGGGCTGGATGCGAGAGAGAAAACCACAGTACGCAATGCGTGGTCTCTTGGGAAGCAAACAGGTCTACCTGCGCTTTTCCGAATCTTTCCCAAATGGTCTCCACCACCTCGGGGTGAAGTTTCCATTCCCCGGATCTCACCCCCTGCCTCGACAGGAGATCTGCTCCCATGTTTAGATGGCCCGGGACATACATTGCCCTGATGGACAGAATTTTGTTCTGGGCCCACAGGAGGATCCGATGTGCTAGTTTGCATAGCATTCGAGACCTCAGACCCCCCTGATGGTTGAGGTAAGAGACCACCGATGTGTTGTCCGTGCGGACTAAAATATGATGGCCCCTTAGATCTGGGAGAAAGTGTTTTAAGGCCAGAAACACGGCCATCATCTTCAGGCAGTTTATGTGCCAGTAACGATGATGTTCTCCCCATCGTCCCGCTGCGGGAAGCCCCCTCAGGGTTGCTCCCCAGCCCGTTAGAGAAGCATCTGTCATAAGCATAACACGAGGACAGACAGCCCCCAACACTGGGCCCTGGGTCAGGAACCAGGGCATTTTCCACATACTTAAGGCTCGAAGGCAGCGCCGCGAGACCTTGATCATGCGGAAAGGATTCCTTTTGAGGGAAAACCCCCTGGATTTGAGCCAACACTGCAGGGGTCTCATGGCAGCAGCAGCCAGCGTAATTCCGTTCGGTCTGCTGTACCCAACAACCTCTGAAAGTGTTTCACAGTGATGAACTGGCCTAGTTTGACTCTGCGTACGGCTGACTGAATCGAAGCGATTCATGGCGGGGACAGACGTGCTCGCATCGTCATGGAGTCCCATAGCACACCTAAAAAAATGGTCATCCTGGCTGGAACAAGCACACTTTTTGCGGTGTTCAACCGAAACCCCAACCTTCTGATATGGGTGAGAACGACATCTCGATGCCGAACTGCCATATCGTGAGTCTGAGCTAGAATTAGCCAATCGTCTATGTAGTTTAGGATACGTATACCCTGCATACGAAGTGGAGCTAGTGCTACTTCGACTATTTTGGTGAAGGTTCGAGGTGACAGAGCTAGGCCGAATGGAAGAACCCGATACTGGAACACTTCGCCCCCGAAAGCGAACCTCAGGTATTTCCTGTGTTGGGGAAGGATGGAAATATGGAAGCATGCGTCTTTCAGGTCTATCGTCACGAGCCCGTCCTCGGACTGAATTTGTGACACCACGTTTTTGATGGTTAACATCCTGAACCTGAGGGCCCCGACGGACCGATTAAGATTTCTCAGATCTAATATGGGATGCAATCCCCCATCCTTTTTGGGAACTATAAAATACCGGCTGTAAAACCCTGACTCTCTGTCGAGTGGGGGAACACGCTCTGTTGTGCCTTTCTTTAATAGAGCCAGTACTTCCTCTTCCATAACCAGAGCCTGTTCTGGCTTCACTACGGTGCGTGTAATACCATTGAAGTGAGGTGGGCGTGCACAAAACTGTAATTTGTAGCCATGTTCCACTGTGAACAGGACCCACTGAGACACCATCGGCAGGTGTTTCCACGCTGCCAGAAAATGTGCTAGGGGTACCAGCCTCTCGAGACTGGCCTCTGGTTGCTCTTGGACCCCCCGAAGAGGGGGTGGGGTCCCCAATGCCCTCAGACACTGAGGAACGCCCACCCCGGGAGACACAGAGCCCCCCACCAGCATACGTGGTGAGGTGGTCTCTCCCTTTCTCCACGGACCCTTGTTCAGTGAGGGCGTCGAATAGTGCTCTCGATGTCCAGGGGGGCCTTGGGAAGCCTGACTCCCAACACGTCAGGACTTCCTTTTATCCTTCGCCTTCCTCGAAACTATTATCGTCCTCGTGGGAA